AAAAGCCAACTTTGGGCAGCAAACTTTCCTTGCAGGAGTTTCCAGACACTGAAGAGAGGGTGCTTTTTAATCGGCTCACACACAGAAGTTGGAGGCCAGCTGGTGTAATTGGGGGTGCTGCTCCGGGTGGATGGAGGGAGAAGGGCTCGCCTCCAGCTCTGCCTCCCATAACAATGACCCCTTTCTGCACACCACCCAGCTCATTTGGAGAGGGCTTCTCCCCCTGTCATGTGTGTGAAACTTCTTGTTTATGCCACAAGCAGTTACTAGGTGTGTTTTAAGCCCAAGGCACTGAGTAAGGTGCTGTGGGAAGCGTGGAGACAGGGCTGTAGATTCCAGGCGTTTACGGTCTTGGTGGGTGGCTCCCAACTCCAAGTCCCTAGAGTTAGGTATGAGAGGAAAGGCTGGCAGGGTTCTCCATGTTCAGAGAGCTTACTAGGATCACGAACTGAGAAAAGCAGGCTATTATTTCATAAATATGTTTGATTTAATAACCAAAATCTTTCAAGCTGTGGGACCATGGGGGTAATACAAGAAGCTTTTTGGGACATTGGGAACCACTGATCTATTTCAGGGAATAAGCTGTCGTAAAAAGAATGACTACGTCAATGTGTGCTCTTGACATCAGTGGTATCAATAAAGTGTTATGGGAATTTGGAGGGGTGGAAGGGAGTATGTGCTGGGCACTGCACAATTGCTTGAATCTTATTTAATCCCCGGAACAGCCCTTTGAGGGAAGCATAATTATTCCCCATTTTACAAATGAAATTTAAGAGAAGTTAGATAATGTTTCCACTGTCAAGAGCTGGAGTCAGGATGAACACCAGCCTTCTGATTCCAAAACACAGGCTATTTTCACGGCACCTCTCACATCGTATCTGTCTTGGGCGATCAGAGGTTTCCTGTGGGAGGTGGTGTTTGATCCCCCTTGAGGCCTTTAGGAATAGTGGGTTGTCAACAGGCAGGGAGTGTGGTCCCAAAGGAAGCAAAAACACACACAGGGACTAGGAAGAAGCTGGCATATCAGGAAATGACAAGAGTCCAGGTGGCCCAGACGCTGGAGTGTGTGCCGAGGTGGAGGAGGAGAAAAGCAGAATGGTTTGTGAAGGCCAAATTTTAAAGAGCCTTGCTTGTCAGGAGTTTGGATTTTATCCTGTAGATAATTCTCCAAGGAGGATACTTGAAGCCTCCAGATAAACACAGTATTTCTTTCAGGGACATCAATTTTCCTTGAAGTGAATAATTTTAAACATCTTCATATTAAAAGAAATTCAGATATATCATGGAGTAGAATGCAAAATTCTCATGAATTTTTAAGAGAAAACAGGAGACTTCAAAGAGAGTTTGGGTGTGCTGGCAGGAGCTTCAGGCTCTGCAGTACCCTGGGGGAACATAAGGCATTTCTTTTGTCTACTGTTGGTGTGCTTCAGTGGTAAAGATTGAGAAGCACTGATTTTACACAAACTGTTTTGATCCCAGGAATAAAATTGTTAGCTGTATTTCAAGATGGGAGGCAGGGGCCTGGAAGAGAGGTTGGGCAGGGTGGGGACTGAGGGCAAGAAGCCACTTAGGAGGCTGTTGCAATAAACTCTCCGGAGACATAAAGGGCCTGGGGGCTGCCTGGGCCTCAGAGCTCACCTCTTTGCCCTGGTACTTTTGGAGGGGGCTGCCTGAGAGACACCCACCTTGTAACTGCTCCTTTATTTTATTCTATTTTATCTTATTTTATTTTTTGAGATGGAGTTTCACTCTTGTCGCCCAGACTGGAGCGCAATAGCTCCATCTCGGCTTACTGCAACCTCCACCTCCTGGGTTCAAGTGATTCTCCTGCCTCAGCCTCCCAAGTAGCTGGGATTACAGGCGTGAGCCACCATGCCCGGCTAATTTTTGTATTTTTAGCAGAGACGAGGTTTCACCATGTTGGTCAGGCTGGTCTTGAACTCCTGACCTCAGGTGATCTGCCCATCTCAGCCTCCAAAAGTGCTGGGATTAGAGGCATGAGCCACCATGCCTGGCAGCTCCTTTCTTTTAACAAACTCAGCGATAAGACTAAGATGGCCAAGGAGGCTATAGCAGAAGCAGTGGAGAGAGGGTCTGGGCCAGGAACAAGTCTTGCAGAGAACCTTCGTGCCCTGGCCTCTTCATCGATGATGCTGCCCTCCAACTACCTTCTGGCTCAACAGGCCTGTTAGCTTACCTGCTGGAAGGTGAGTGACTGGACCAGTGATTCTTGGGGAGCACTGCCTTGTTGCAGCATCCAGCCTTCATACGCTGGTGGGCAGTTTTGTTTTACCCAGTGTGGTGGCCAACACCCTATGGTCAAGAGAGACTCAAGGGAAGGAGGAAGGGGGGATAAGCATCCTCGCTGAAGACCAAGGCCGCGCTTGACTTCTCCTTGTCATCAGTAGATGGAGATAGCCCACCTCAATTAGCCAAAATCCCTAACTCATATGGGTCTTTCTGGAGGGGTCAGTTCTTATGTAGTTCATAATTTGTTTATTGAATCATCTTTGTTTTTAAAGCATTACAAAATAACTTAGTGCTTTTTCTCCTAATTTTTAGAAGATACTATTTATTGTAGAAAATTGAGAAAATCTTGACCATCAAAAATAAAAAAACCAAAACAGAAAAACACCTGTAATTCCACCACCCAGGAGCAACTACAGAAAACAAATACATTGGTGGGTGTCCTCCTCCAATTTTTCTAAGTACATACAATTTTATTTTTTTAATGGAGTCATTTTGTGTATACCGCATGTATACTTTGGCTTTGTATATGCATAACATATATTTCTTCACATACCTTGAGTCTTTCACTCTAATTAATATTTTCCTGTAAGGTAATTATTTGTGATTGAAGTTGCCCGTGGATCCCTTGTCACCTTTAATGCCTATTGTTATAGATTTAGTTTGTTTTCAGTTTTTCATTATTAAATAAAATGTGGGGAACTTATTTGTGGCAAAATTTTTCACAGGGAAATATTATAAATATTTTCTCTTATACAAGTAATCATTTTATTGCTGAAAAACGTAAGTTAAGGCAAGAAAACAATTAAACACCTGAAAAGTTACCATTCAGAAATCATATCTGTATACCTTTCAGTGCCTAGCCTCACAGATTTCATTCTGTGCATATGTTTATATCTATACATAAATAGATACATTGAATAAAGTTTATAAGTCTGGTATAGATACATTTTTATTAAAACAATACTATTTTCTAGCCTGCTTTTTCTTTTTCTTTTTTTTTTTTTTTTTTTTTTTTTTGAGACGGAGTCTCGCTCTGTCGCCCAGGCTGGAGTGCAGTGGCGCAATCTCGGCTCACTGCAAGCTCCTCCTCCTGGGCCGACGCCATTCTCCTGCCTCAGCCTCCCGAGTAGCTGGGACTACAGGCGCCCGCCTCTGCGCCCGGCTAATTTTTTGTATTTTTAGTAGAGACGGGGTTTCACCATGTTAGCCAGGATGGTCTCTATCTCCTGACCTTGTGATCCGCCCGCCTCAGCCTCCCAACGTGCTGGGATTACAGGCGTGAGCCACCGCGCCCGGCCAAGCCTGCTTTTTCTTAATAGATAATGACTATCCTTGTCATTAATGTTCAATATTATCATTTTACTGCTTTCTAATAATACATTGTATAAGTGTTTAACATTCATCCTGTTATTTATTTGAGTTTTTCCTGGACCGTTCTTCTTTTTCTTATTTTTTGCAAGAGTTCTTTAAATAGTAAAGATATGAAATTTTTTGTCATGTTGCAAATATCTTTCCTAGATTATTCATTTTTCCTTGGGACTTGTTTGAGGTAAGTTTTCAGTCTTTATTTTCATAATTACAAAAATAAAACATGGCCGGGCCCGGTGTCTCACGCCTGTAGTCCCAGCACTTTGGGAGGCCGAGGAGGGTGGATCGCGAGGTCAGGAGATCGGGACCATCCTGGCTAACACGATGAAATCCCGTCTCTACTAAAAGTACAAAAAATTAGCCGGGCGTGGTGGCGGGCGCCTGTAGTCCCAGATACCCGGGAGGCGGAGCTTGCAGTGAGCCGAGATCGCGCCACTGCACTCCAGCCTGGGCAACAGTGCATGACTCCGTCTCAATAAATAAATAAATAAATAAATCATGATTTTTATAAACATTAGAAAATACAGATAAAAAGAAAAACAATTAAAACGAAATAACCCTAAATCCCACTAACTAAAGGTAGCCACTATTAGTATTTTAGACTATATCTTTCTATTCTTTCCTATTTCCCAATATAGATGAGTAGGACCGTGTAAGTATGATATATTTTTAAAAATTGGGATTATTCTATATATAATTGTGACCTACTTTATGCACTAAATCGATTTTGAAAATCTTTCTGTGTCAACACAAATTAATCTGTACCATTACGTATTAATTTTATTTTAAAAATAGATAATGCTTTTACACAGTTCAAAAATCAAAACATTAAAAAGCATATGTTGAGAATTCTTGTTCCCACACGTCCCCATTCACTTGGTTCTCTGCCTTCCCTTCCCATAGGTCACTGCTTCTCCTAGTTACAAGCAAATGCAGATATATATTCCCCATCCTTTCTTACACAGAAGATAACACACTGTATACGCTATTGGGCACCTTACTTTTTTGTTTTTGTTTTTTGTAGAGACTATTACTTTTTAGCAGTTTTAGGTTCACAGCAAAATTGAGAGCAGGATTCAGAGATTTCCCATGTATATCCTGTCTGCACACGTGCATAGCCTCCTTCACTATCAATGTCCCCCACCAGCTGATACATTTGTTACAATTGATGCATTTGTTAAAAGTATCCATTGTAACAATAATAAATATATATAATAAATAATAATAATGTATCAATTATAATACATTTGTTAAATATATTAACTTTAACAAATATATCAACTTCTGTAACAAATGTAATACATTTGTTAAATGTATTAACAAATGATAATAAATAATAATAAATGTATCAATTGTAATACACTTGTTAAATGTACTGATTGTAACAAATGTATCAATTTTTGTAACAAATGTATTGCATTTGTTAAATGTATCAATTGTAACAAATGTATCGACTGCTGGGGGATTAACATACAATTAACACATTTGTTACAGTTGACAAACATACATTGGCATCATTATCACCAAAGACCATATTTTACATTAGGGTTCACTCTTGGTGTTGTTTATTCTGTGAGTTTGGACAAATGTATCATGACATATATCCACCACTATAGAATCATACAAAGTATTTTCACTGCCCTAAAAATCTCCCGTGTCCACCTGTTCATCCCTCCCCTCTGGCACCTTCCTTAAAAAAAAAAACAAAAATACAACCAAAAAAATGGCGTATAGTGGAGACTTCCATATCAGTATATAGAGAGTTTCCTGGTATTTCATGGTATGGATGGATCATAATATCTAACCAGCCCATATAATTGGACATTCGAAATATTCCTGATATTCTGCTGTTATACATAATTCTATAATATGTACATATGTCATTTCTGTCCATGTGCAAATATATTTGCAGGAAAAATTCTGAGAGTAGGACTGATGAATCAAGGGGAAAATAGATTATCAGTAACATCAATAGAAAATATCAAATTGCCCTTCATAAGGATGTACCATGTTGCACTCCTACCAGCAAAGAATGAGGGTATCTCTTTCCCTACAACATTAGCAAGTGAGTATATTTTGGATATGTGCAAATCTGATAGGTGAAAAGGGGGTATATCATTGCAACTCCTATATAATTTGCTCTCCTGTTATTATAGATAAGATTGAACATTCTTTCATACGCTTAAAAACTATTTGTGTTTTTTTCTGAAAATGGGTACCTTTTTGTTGGGATATTGGTTTTGATTTATAGAAACAAATATGTATTAGAGTGATTGACCTTCTGCGAAATGAGTTGTAATTTTTTTTTCAGTTAGCCATTTATTTTTCTACTTTGCTTATGGGGTTTATCCATGCAGGAGTTTTAAGATTTTTATGTAGATGTATTTTTCAGTCTTTTATTTCATGACTTCTTGATTTTTGAATCAGTTAGAAAAGTCTTCACTGCTCCAAGATTATAAAAGAGTTCTATTATTATTCTGGCAATTTTATGGTTTTATTTTCCGCATTTATTTCTCTGATCCAGTTGAAATTTATCCTGGCGTGCTGTGAGAAATATTGATCCAGCTTCTATCTTTTTCCAGTTAGCCAAATGCGCTTTATTTAAAAATCTATCTTTGTCTCACTGATTTGATATTTTTTATAGACCAGATTCTCGTATTTACTTGGGTCTGTTTCTGTGCTTTCTAGTCTGTTCCATTGGTCTGTCTATACAGCACCATTTTTGATAGCTATATAGTATTGCTTTTTATGTGTTGCATAATTTATTTGACTAATTCGTTTTTGTTAAACTTTCAGGTTGCTTCTGGTTTTTCAATATTCCAAACAGTGCATCGGTGAATAAAATCCTGGCACACATGCATTTGTGTGTATAGTGAATCAATCCTGTCCTTTCCATTTTTATACATGGAATTTCTGGGTCAAAGATATGTGCCTCCTTAGGCTTTTTTCATACATATTGCCAAAATGCCTTTATACCAGTTTACACCCCCTCCAACCATGTGTGAGTGCAGATTCCCCTACCCATGCCAACTCTCAGTATAATAATTCTTTTTAATCATTGCCAATCTGATCAGCAAAAAAAGGTCTCTTATTGCCGTTTTAATTTGCCTTTCTTTGAATGTTAGTGAGGCTGAATATTTTTTCAATTTATGGTGGGTTTTGATGTACAGAAGTTTTTAATTTTTTTTGTAGTCAAATCTATTAATCTTTTCCTCTATGGTCTCTGCTTTTGTTGACATGTTTAGAAAGTCCTTCCCCATCCTAAGATTATAAAATATTCACTCATATTTTCTTCTAGTACCTTTACGATTTCATTTCCATCTTTATCCATCTGGTATTCATTTTGATGAATGGTGTGAGCTGGGAAATAACGTGTATTATTTATTTATTTATTTCCTGTATGGGTACTCAATTCTTTCATCACTGTTAAAAAGCACATATTTGTGTGTGTGTGTGTGTGTGTGTAACTATTCCTAAAGTGAACATCTTGAACAGCTGGACACTGAAGGGAACGCAGCTCTACACTTTGGGTCATCATTAGAAATATTAGCTTAGCAGGCAGATGTGGCACTTTCTAACAGATGTGAGCTTATGAGTCAAATGGATTGACATTTGACATTCAAATCCTAGCTTTGTAGCTCACTGCTGGTGCAACTTTGAGCAAACCAATGATCCTCCCTGAGTCTTGGTTTCTTCACCTATAAAATGGGATAATAATATGTATAGGACTGTAATGAGAATTAAATGAGCTAATGTTTGTAGCGACTGTCTACACATGCCTTTCACATCATGGACAGTCAATATTTATCACTTGCCCTTTACACTGCAACCATCATGCTCCCTTCTCCCCATCAAGTGAGCCCTCAGGCCTTGACTGTAAATAAGATATGCTGGAGTGGGGAGAGGTTGGATGCTGTGCTTGCTTTTTATAGGTTTTCTATCTTTACCCTGTGATCAGACTTCCATGTGTTATGTCTTGCTGCTTTTAGTGTCTTTTCATTAGCAGCCTTTCTCTCCCCTTCTAAAAGTACTGCTTTTAATCTTATAACAGCTAGAAAACCAGACAACAGGATTGTTCGAAGTATATATAAATTAAGAGTAACTGGGATCTGAGTGAGAGCCCGAGGGCCTCTCCTATTGTATAACGTGGTGGTTCTGGGCTCTGGCTGTATGTTAGAATCACCTGGGGAGCTTTGAAAACATATCCATGCCTGGGTCCTACTCCAGACCAATTAAATCAGAACCTCTGGTGGTGGGGCCCAGGCATGGGTGTGTTTAAAAACTCTGCGGGTGATTCTAATGTGCACGCAGGGCTGAGAACCATTGCTTGTGTGCACAGGCTTTGTGAGATCCACATTTACTGCTGAGAGGTTTTTCCCTCTGGTTCTCTCCCAAAGCGTGCCTCAAGTTGGGGCGGCAGCTCTGTGGAGCAGAAGGCCAGATGGTGGAGGTATCAGCGATGTTTAGGCTGCTGCTGTGCTTGCTAAAGTGAACAGCCCCAACACTCAGGTCTGTGTAAGAGCACGTTCCTCAGGGCTTTCGGAGATGATGTCAGTTTGTCTTTAAGATGGAGCTGTTTTAGTCCCCGTCCTGATGCAGCTTCCCCTACCTCTAGAGGATCCCTGGGACCATGCTGACTTTGACTCCTGAGGAGAGTGGGAGATAATGAGAAATAAATCTTCAGAAAACACCTTTAGTTTTTATTTCTATTTTATTTGCATATTTGTTCTCTTTTTCTCTTGGCTCCTTCTCTGTCCTCAAAAACTTATGTAGGTGATATAGTTTGACTGTGTCTCCACCCAAATCTTATCTTGAATTGTGGCTCCCTTGGGAGGCCAAGACAGGCGGATCACGAGGTCAGGAGATCGAGACCATCCTGGCTAACACGGTGAAACCCCGTCTCTACTAAAAACTACAAAAAACTAGCCGGGCGAGGTGGCGGGTGCCTGTAGTCCCAGCTACTCGGGAGGCTGAGGCAGGAGAATGGCGTGAACCCGGGAGGTGGAGCTTGCAGTGAGCTGAGATCCGGCCACCGCACTCCAGCCTGGGCAACAGAGCGAGACTCCGTCTCAAAAAAAAAAAAAAAAAAAAAAAAAAAGAATTGTGGCCCCATAATTCCCATGTGTTGGGGGAGGGACCCAGCGGGAGATAATTGAATTACTGGGGAGGTTTCCCCCATACTGGTCTCGTGGTAGTGAATCAGTCTCATGAGATCTGATGCTTTTATAAGGGGTTTCCTCTTACATTTGGCCCTCATTCTGTCTTGCCTGCCACGATGTAAGATGTGCCTTTCACCTTCCGCTATGATTGTGAGGCCTCCCCAGCTATGTGGAACTGTGAGTCTCTTTTTCTTTATACATTACCCAGTCTCAGGTATGTCTTTATCATTAATGTGAAAACGGACTAATACAGTAGGTGACATGTGTCCAGCCTGCTTGGTTCCCAACTTTGCTGGATCTATTCTATCTGTGGATGGAGCCACTCTCTCCCAAATGTACACTTACCATCAACTATTGGTGGACCCACTTTGTCTCCTGGCAAATAGATAAAAAATGTGCTCCCTACAGCCTACAAATTGGGCACCAACATCACAGCTCCTTGCTACGACGTCAGCCTTCATGCTATTCTCAAATTCTAATAACCTGCCTGGGGGCTTAGCCCATGGGCTTGAGACCCCTTCCTGGTGTTTTGCCTGGTTCATCTAAAACTAGGGCCTCCCTGGCTCCACCAGATCCTGTGGCGGAAAAGTCGCCACCTTTTCTAATGAATTAAAGCCAATTCCTGCAAGCTTAGCAATGAAGGGAGCGTCTCTGTGTGGAGAGGGTTGACTAGAATTTCTCCTTGAGATTTCTCACTCATCATCCCCACCCTTCAACACACACAGGCCAGCTGAGACCAGGCTGGATTCCTCAGACCAGCCTTTACCACAGGTTGGGGGAAAAACAGAAATAAACAGAGAGAGTAACATGAGCCCATAAAATCTTGTTTACAAGATACGGCTTGATCGTGAGGGCTCAGGGCCTGCCCTCACCAGTGTGGGGGCTGCCTCTGCGTGGTCAGTGCCATGGCACCAGCCCTGGCCTTGGGGCAGAAGCTGGGACAGCTGTGCTCTTGAAAGTTCAGATGGACCCACTAAATAAAGAATGGAGTTGAGAAGAAGACGAGAGTTCCCCTTGTGTCTGATGCCACCATCTGAATCACAGAGTTCTGCATGAGGATCTGTCTCTTCCCGGGATGATTAGAAATGATTGCTCTTTTTAGTGGTAAATAAGCCTCAAGGCTGCATAGAGAAGGAATGGGGTGGGCAAACACTAGCTTACTACCTCACCCCAATGCCTTGACCGGTCTTGCTAGAAGTGCGGTTTTGTATCCACAAAAGACAATGACTTTTCTTTAGATACGTTCAGTTGAGAGGCAAAATATTACAGCATTGTGAAATACTCTGTGATGTTCACGGCAGAGCAAGAGGTGAGCAAACTGAGGGTTATTTGCAAAGAATGCTGATGATATTCTTTTCAAAGAGCTCCCAACAATCATCCAGGGAAGAAAAATACAAGGGTGTATCAGTTTGGAGAGACTTTTTTTTTTTTTTTTTTTTTAACTTGGAAGTCTGTGCAAAAGCTCTGTCTGTTTTGGTGCTGATTTCTTCTTCACTGTCTTCAGGAGAGATCTCATCCCCTGTCCATTGGGGAATGGCCTTGCTCTATGGCCCCCACCAAACAAAAACGTAGCAGAACACAGCAAAACAGCAGGGTCTGAGTGTGAAGTGCTGATAGAGTTCCCTAACGCTGACTGTCTGCTCTGCATTTCTGGAGATTGTATGCCTGTCATCCTGCATTCCTCGGTAGGCTTCCTATTGGATAATCCCATAAACTCTGGCCCACTTGTCTTCAATGGGGATAGTACTGCCCCCTAGAGGCACTTTAGAAACGTGTGGTGGTTGTTACATTGGTTGGGGGCACTACTGAGGTGGAGGTAGAGGGGAGCAGACTTCCTGCCATAGGCAGGGCAGTCTTGTACAATGAAGATTTCTCCTGCACGTCTCCTGACATTTGAAAGCTCCACCAGATGTTCATGTAGGTAGAAAACCTCTTTATATTGGTTTGAGCCTAGAACCTAATTCTAATTTGCATATAAACACAAAGTACTTCTGTACAATTTCATTTATTTATTTATTTATTTATTTATTTAGAGACGGAGACTCACTGTCGCCCAGGCTGGAGTGCAGTGGCATGTTCTCTGCTCACCTCAGCCTCCACCTGCTGGGTTCAAGCCATTCTCATGCCTCAGCCTCCCAAGTAGCTGGGATTACAGGTGCCCACCACTACCCCCGACTAATTTTTTATATTTTTAGTAGAGACGGGGTTTCACCATGTTGGCCAGGCTGGTCTTGAACTCCTGACCGTAAGTGATCCACCCTCCTGGGCCTCCCAAAGTGCTGGGATTATAGGTGTGAGCCACCGGGCCCGGCCCCTTTGTACAATTTTAATATGCACTGAATTTTTAATGAATGCTACCATCATATAAATGGAAAGAACACTGTATTTTATCTTTGCCAGGAGTTGTTTACCATTTTAGAAAACCACAATAACAACAATAATATGTTCATAGTATTTGAGTTGCCAAAACAACCCACCTCTATTCATCTGCATTTGTAGATGAGTAGTGATTCTACATATCTGTATGACTGTATAATTCTTATTTAGTCTTGTTTCAGAACACCAAATATAAAGAAGTACCCATAATGTTCCAGTGAATATTATTTTACCTCTCTTACATTCAAGCTTATTTATTACAAATAGGTGCAATCATTTGACTACATTATCTCTTCTAGTGTAGTTATGCCCAAGCATTTCTAGATTGCAGTGCATATTCGTTTATTCTAAGTTATTTTCCTTTTCGTTCATTATCTTATAGTTAGGGTGGTATATTGATTTTCTAAAAAATATGTGCATAGATGGGTTATATCATCTATAAATTTCATTTCAGAATAGTCAAGGTGGTCTTACAAAATATTTGATGTAAAAATGGGAGCACTGGGTCTGATAGGGTTGGGACCCAGTGCTCTAGGTGACCTCATGGAGGATATTTGATTTTATCTAATTTTCACAGTAACTCTTTGAGCTAGGTCCTATTATGCCCACCATTCTGCACCGGAGGAAGCCGAGTAACAGAAACATGAGGTAACTTGCCTAAGGCCAGATATCTAGAAAATCGGGGAGCGAGAGCTCTAGAGCCCTCTTGCTATACCAGTTCACTATTCTGCCTTCCACCCACCATGTCTGCCCCCTCTTCCATGATTTGCCCAGGTGCTGCAGGGCCTTTCTACCTGGAAGCCCACCCTCTGTCCCCAGAAGCCCACCCTCTGCCCCGTTAGCCTTCTTCTTCTTCTTCTTCTTCTTCTTCTTCTTCTTCTTCTTCTTCTTCTTCTTCTTCTTCTCCTCCTCCTTCTCTTTTTTGAGGTGAGTCTTGCTCTGTTGCCCAGGCTGGAGTACAGTGGTGCAATCTCAGCTCACTGCAACCTCCGCCTTCCAAGTTCAAGTGATTCTCCTGCCTCAGCCTCCTAAGTAGCTGGAATTAATAGGCACGCGTCACCACACCTGGCTAATTTTTTGTATTTTTAGTAGAGATGGGGTTTCGCCATGTTGGCCAGCCTGGTCTTGAACTCCTGACCTCAGGTGATCCACACTCTTCGGCCTCCCAAAGTGCTGGGATTACAGGCGTGAGCCACTGCGCCCGGCCCCTGCTAGGCTTCTTGCAGGGTTCACTGGGGACACTGACTGGAAGGGAAAAAATGACTTTTCCCTTTTGGATAGAATTTTAACAGAATAAATAAAAGGGAAGAATTTTGCAAAGAGCAGATCCCCAATAAATTTTGCTGAAAGAATGAATGAATGATTTGGTAATGTTTTGGGGAGAGTACTGCTGGGTCCTTTGGAACAGCCCCTGGGCTTTTTATTTATTTATTTATTTATTTTTGAGACAGAGTCTCCCTCTGTCGCCCAGGCTGGAGTGCAGTGGCACCATCTCGGCTCACTGCAAGCTCTGCCTCCCAGGTTCACGCCATTCACCTGCCTCAGCTTCCCGAGTAGCTGGGACTACAGACGCGCGCCACCACGCCCAGCTAATTTTTTGTGTACTTAGTAGAGATGGGGTTTCACCATGTTAGCCGGGGTGGTCTCGCTCTACTGACCTCGTGATCCCCCCGCCTCGGCCTCCCAAAGTGCTGAGATTACAGGCATGAGCCACCGCACCCGGCTACCCCTGGGCTTTTAATAATTGATTTCAGCAACCTAATGTGAGTTTCCCTGGGGTTGATGCCCGGGTTCGCAGGGCTGTCAGCTCAAGGAGGAACCCTTCCACTGTGTCCCCGCAGGCTGAGGGAGGCTGTTCACTCCTTTTTCTCAGGAAGCACAGCTGTTGAAACACAGATCAGCACATCTCCCTTGCTCTCTCCCATGCACACTGACATGGTTTTCGGGTCCTGGGCTTGGGGGTCTTCTTTAAATAACAGCCTATCCTCCGGCCCTTTGGTCTGTGATCTGACTGACCCCCTGGGCCCTGGTTTGATGAACACCAGCTCCTACAACTGACAACCACAAAGGGATGCTGCACTTTTCCCCCGTGGGTCTCGGGCAGGGTCTCACTCTGAGCTATGATTTCTTCTTTCCTTCACTCAGCAAATGTTTTCT